TTAACCCCTTTGCAATGATGCAGGTCCGGGTCCCTGGTGTTTCCTGCCAGCTGTGGTGGTTTTGGAGACGGCCACTGATTTTTTTTCTGCAGTGAAAGACGATCTGACAAATGCCTTGTGGTCAGTTCCATTTGTGAACTGACTGCACAGCGGGTTAATCCCAGGCGGACACGACTCAGCGGGATCTGATCCTGCTGGATTCTTCAAGACCTGTGTGTGCCCACAGCCTCCATGTAGCTGCTTGCAGTCCTGTCACCTCCCTTCACTGGATCCCAGCCTAAAAAACGTGGGGTTGTAGGGTCAGAAAAGCAAATTCTTGTGTCTAATGGCTCAGTTTTACTGTCTTTTAATACATTCTTTTTTTTAACAGGGCCATTTGCTCACAGCTAAATGTCAGCAGGGGGAAAGACAGTGTCTTTGGATGTGTGGAGCATTAAACTTTCAAGAGAAAAATGTAAAAATACTGTATTTGAAAAGCAGAACTGCTAATAATGTTTCTTTCCTGACAGAGATGTCATGGAAATTAATGTAATTCTGTGTTACCAAGTGCAGTTTTGATGTATAAATAGATTACAGAAAGTGTGTTGGATTTAAGGATAGCAGGCAGTTTATCTAAGCACTTTGAAGAGCAACGTGTTCTACCCAAGCCCTACACATCACTGCGACAGCCAGAGCTTCATTGAAAAAGTTTTATTGCAAAATAACACAACTGTCACTGTGTGGTACAAGAACAGACAACAAAAAGCCATCAGCCACCTGCATCTGCACGATGCAATTAACTCCCCATATCCCAGGCCGTGTCCTTGCCCTCCCCTTCTCCCCCTTGCTCTCCGTGATGTGCTACAGCACGTGGGCTTCAGTGTGCCCGTTCCCCAGCTTGGCTTTAGCATACACTGAATTTCAGGCTTCCTGCACGTTTGGGTACTTCATTCCCCCACCTTCTACCCCAGCACATTGAGGAAAAGCACCTTGGAGAAGGGGCTGGGAAAAGCCTTGAGGACAAAACTTCCTGCTGGCCTCTTATACAACTTGGGGCACATTCATCTTCCTGCACTTGTGGGACCTTGCAGAAGACATCGTCACATCGAACTGGTTGCTCTGGTTTTGGTTCTGTGAGACGAGGCCTAATAAGACTTACCAACTGTTAATAAATAAGTGGAAATAGTCCCAAGTATGGCCTGAAGCAATGCAGCATGGGGCTCGTGTAGCAACCTGGTAGCAAATGCAGTGGTGGGGAACCATAAACTGGAAAAAAAACCCCAAAACATCATGATCACTGTCCCTGCGGGTTCCAAACTACCAGCATTTAGATGGTGGCAGGTGGATTCTCCTCTCCTTGGACTAATCTTGTCCTTACTTTGCCCTGTCTCGGTTGCTGCAGGAGCTGGTGGGCATGCGCTGATGGAAAAGCACCGGGAGATGGGAAGCTTCCCTCTTTGCTTGGCAAAAGATGTTGAACCAGAGGTGCTGGCCCAAGAGCCCCATCGTGGTCCCCAGAGAATGGCCGCTCACAGTAACATCTCGGTCACACCAACAGCGTTGGGGGGACCTCAGGGGCAGCATTAATTTCCTAGGAGCTTATTAGGTCTTTGGCCTCGCTGCTGACACCCTAACTCCCAAGCTGCTTCTCCGTGGAGGGTTTGCAGCGTCCCTCTAGCTAAGGGAGCGATGGCTTTGGCTTAGGCTGCAGCATCTAGCGATGGCCACCAGGTTGGCAGAAGGGTCTCCATGCAAGGGCAGCTCTCGGGTGAAAGAAGAGGAGGGAAACGTGCTCCTACCTTCTCTACAAGCAAGGAACAGCTTCAGCAAAGCGACCAGTGCGGTGCCCGTGGCACCAAAAGGGAGAAACATTAGTGGCAGAGCTGCATGGGCAGAAGCGTTGGAGACTGAAGGCGTGGAGGACTTGCACCTTTGCAGGGCTGATGGAGCCACAAGGGCCTTAATTCAGGGAAAAAGCATCTGAACATCTCATCTGAGCCCAAACATCTCAGCTGAAGATACTGACAGCTTAGCCCGTCCCTTCTGCTCCTGGTGACCCTGTGCCAGGCTCCTCTGTTCCTCTCTGGAGGTGGGTTTGTGCAGTAGAGTATTTTGGGGTGAGGTAAAGTGTATGCTGGTTTCTCATCAAAATGCACCCTGGTCTGAATAGCACCCATAGTTCAAGAAGGATACAAAATAGTGTTTCCCCTTTTTCAAATCCCTCACTAAAAAACACAAACCAATTCTCTGGAGAAAAAAAAATACAAAAAGCTACAACTCATCACGCATCTTGTCCCCTTTGGGCCTCACGAGCCTGCCGATGAAGAGAATGGAGTTGGTTTTACTGTCCTTGATCATGAAGACGAAGGGGTGGTCAGCGTAGAAGAGCTTGGGGTTCCGCATCTCCTCCCGGCCGTAGATGTCGGCGTCGTAGGGGTTCCCGTCCGTGTCCCACTCCAGAGCAGCAGCGTGGAAGACGTTGGACAGGTAAAGGTCTTTCTTGCCGGAGATCTTGGACAGGTCGGCCTTGGTTTTGTCAATGGCTTCCGTGAGGCCCAGGTCAGCCAAGTGTTTCTAGAAGGAGAAAGACATCAGCCACCCTCCCCGAGATGACACCGCAATCCTTTCCACCCCTGGTCACTGCAGAAGAGGACACCTGGCACAGCCAGCACCTTGGTGTCTTCTCTCCCACCCCCAAGAACGGCAGGGCCTGATGGCTCTTCTCAAGGCCCAACTTTACCTGAAGATCGTGGCTGACTTCCAGAACCACTTTAGGCAATGAGATGGCTACTGATCTCTTCTTCATCTTGCTAGACCAGGTCTTCAGCTGCTCCTTGTTCAGCAGTTTCTCAACCCTCTCCAGTGGCTCCACGTGGTTTGGCATGATGAAGATCATGCTGGAGAGTTTGTGAGCCAGTGGCATCTCCACCACCTGGAGCTTCTCTGCCTCGTCATCATAGTAGTTGTAGAGACCTTGGGACATCAGAAGCAGAGGCAGGTGAGATACAGGGCACAGGCAGAGCCACCAACAGTCCTGTTGTGAATTCACTAAGGCCTTCCCTGACTGGCAACATCATGATGCCTCCAAAATAGCACTTTGGAGGTGCTGCCAACGCGGCTGGTGGCAGGCCAGTTCCCAAACTGCTGTTCCCACTTGTGTGACGAGCTAGAATCTCATCCTAGCTGCCAAGCACCCGATAGGAAACACATTCTCTCTGCTCTTTGGGAGCTCAGATCAACAGGAGCAGCTCCCCCTGCTTCGTTTTCCCTCCCTCATTGCAGGTGAGCCAAAACGTGGAGGCAATCAGTGGAAAACTGCATCCAACAGAGCAGCAATCCCAGTGGGTCTTGGCCTGGGGCAGCAAGCTCATAACTTACCTGTGCGATGCATCATTGGAACCCCCACGGTGTAGGAACGGGTCACCATGAAGCCACGGTTGTCCACCATCTTATGATGGAACTTCTCATCCCAGTGAGCTAAAGGAGAGAGAAATTCAGCTCGTAAGAATGGGAATGGATGGTAGTTTCATGTAGTTTAATACCCTGCTCTGAACAGAGCTGGTCTTAGTGGACTCAGGATTTGTTTCCGTTTCTACTTGGGATGCTTCGTATGGGCTCAAGCTGGGTCACCTGTTAGTGGACTCAGGATTTGTTTCCGTTTCCACTTGGGATGCTTCGTATGGGCTCAAGTTGGGAGCTGGGTCACCTGCACCAATAACTGAAGGTAGAACTTACGTTTGAAGAACATGGCGTTGACAATGAGGGCTCCATCAGTTTTCTCCACGTCTTTGGTGACCTCGGGGAGCTTCCCATCCGTGGTCTGGGCTGCCCACTCATTGATGGATTTCAGGGCGCTCCTCTTGTCCCGAAAGTTGATCTTGGAGTGCTCGTAGTTGTAGTGCTTCTTGCTGTTCTTCACAAAGTCATCGGCGAAGTTGATGGAGGCTGGGCCACGGAGTGTCCGTCCAGCTTGTCGGCGCGGGGCCCCGCCTTGGCTTGGGAGGCCGTCGCCGCCTTGCCCCCGAGCGACACGAGGCCGAGGGAAGAGGCCACCACCACGGGGGACAGCAGGATGTTCTCCATGCTCTTGTCCTTAGCCATGGCGTGGTAGAGGTTGAAGGCCAGCGTGGCGCTGCGGTCGGCCAGCGTCGTCGCCTTGTCGCTCAGCTTCCTGTCCTCCGAGGGCACGGCGGCGGCGAGGCCGCACAGCGCGAGCGCCACAACGGGCCACATGATTCCGGCAGCACCCAACGCCTCTGGGGACCTGCGGGCCAAGGAATAGCCGGCGTTAGCACAACCCAAGAGCTCCTGGAGCGCCCGCTCAGCCCAAGGGCTCTTCCAGCGACACCCACTCCTAGACTCCGGTGGCGGAGAGCCAGAGCAGCTGCAGACCTTCGGCCTGGTCAGGAGAAGCTAAAAGCAGGACGTTTCTGCTGTGCATGGACCACCAAACGCGGTGCTGGACGGTCAGGATACGGCAGGGATGGCTCCTCTCGGACGGCTCCACCTCAGCACCTGAGCGCTCACCCTTCTAGGCACTAGATGGAGCACACGAGCTCCACCAAGCTTGGTCAGAGGGGACCCCTGGGGACATCTGACTGTGGTCAGCTGTCAGGAAGAGCCGGGAGGAAGGGAGAAGTCCTGCTCTTCTCCAGTAAAACCCCTTCCCAACACGTAGAGGCACCACGTAGATGCATCTCGTGCGGACTCAACCATGCCTGTCCCCCTGGAGGACTGTAGGGATTTGAGTTCCATCCTCAGACTAGTTCTGAAGCCCGAAGACTCCTCAAGGAGCCTGTGGGTCTGCAGGGTGAACAGTGACTTCCAGCAAGTCATTCCTACTCCTCCTCTATGGGGTAGGCAGCAAAAAATACATCCAAAGGCAGCTCATCCCTCCTGCCTCCGAGGCTAAAACCAGGGATTTAAATTCCACCTCCGGGCCCCAAACAAGCTTTTCTTAAGGAACTTTTTTTGCCCTAGCAACAAGACACCCAAGGCCCCGATGGAGTTAAGTTCCACGGCCACATCCTCCGGGGCCGTGCCGGAGGCTCCGGAGCAGGAAGCAAAAGGCCTCCTGGGATTACACATGCAGCGAAACACGTCGGCACTCGAGCCCGGAGCGCAGCGACGAGGGCGCAGCCGCTGCCAGAGGCGGAATTAAGCAGCCTCTGGAATGCAGAGGGATCCGCGGGGGCTCACACGTCTTCCCATGGCCAGGAAGAGCCGTATCCAGCAGGAAGACGTGGCCGAGCGGCTCAGAGTGCTCCCTGATGCCCTTCACAGTGCGGAGAGCACTGGGGGCGCCAAGTATTTACGATCTGAGCTTGGGGGGGGATGTTTTTCCTCCTTCTATATCTAAAGATACCTTGGAACTGTTTCCTAGTGAGGTCAACGCCTGCCTTTTTCATTCTGAAAGAAAACAGACACAGGGAGTAGTTGTCTCGAGAGCAAACGCCGCTTCCATCCTCCATCTCCAAAAAACACCTCCGTGGCCGCTGCGAGCGCCGCCGCCGCCGGGCGAGCGGCCGTTTTTTGGCCATGCTTGGACTTAAC